ATTGAGGAGGCTTATCCCACGGTAGTTGACGCAGATTGTGGGGTCTCCTTTTTTGAGGATTGGGCATAGCACCCTTACATTCCAATCGTTGGGCATGCTTTCGTCAGACCATATTTTAAAAAGAAGCTGATGCATGCTCCTTATCAGCTCTTCGCCGCCGTGTTTGAATAGCTCGACCGGCAATCCATCGGCCCCGCCGCTTTGTTGTTCTTCAGGCGGGTAATTGCTATTCGAACTTCTTCCTGGGCGGGCGATGGAACGTCTGCTCCATCGTCGTCGATTGGGGAATCGGGTTCGCATTCTCCTGGCGTTGTGCGTTCACTGCCATTCAGCAGGCTTGAGAAGTGTTCCCTCCATAATTTAAGTATGCTCTGGGTATCGGTGACTAGATCACCTTTGGGGGTTCTACAAGAGTATGCTCCGGTCTTGAAACCTTCTGTAAGCCGCCGCATTTTGACCTATCGGCATTTCGGCCTCTTTCTTTTTCTGTTTGCAAATGCGTCTCGCTTCCCTCTTCAACTCTCGGTATCTATCCCATCCCGCACGTGTTGTGGTCGATCGTAACGTTGCCAGGTAGGCAGCCTGCTTTCTCTCCGCTTCTTTTACAGTAGTCCAAAAATATGAATTCTTATTTTCCCAGAAATACATTTGTTAAAAAAGAATCGTAGTCCTTTTTCCTCATAAGAGATTTAAACAGTTCAAAAGCTCAAAACATGCACTACATCAGCTACCTACCCGACGGCATTTTGCAATGTGTTAAAATAAATTTTTCAAGAGCTCAAAGCATGCGCTACATCAGCCCTACGCCTTTGCGCAAATGATTATGTTATGATAACATATCCCCACATACAGATTTGGCAATGGATATAGCAATAGATTTAACAGTTAGTAAGACATAAATTTTATCTTGTCGACATACAAGGCACATTATATACAGTAGATAACCTTTTCGTGGTAGCTTTCTCAGGGGTGAATAACCGCCATCTTGGATTTTCAGAGGTAGCAATTGAAACTGTAAATTTCTAGGAAGAATATGAAGAGAATGAAATAATATAATAACTGATAAACAGTGCTGACATATGTGAGAGCCCACAGTACTCCCCGCAAATAAAGACTTGCTGGACGTTTTTTGTTGAGTTTCAATATCAGATCCTAGCATGGGTGCAAATGTTTCAGGTATTTCGGTGCATAGGTAGACTGGTTGATGTACGTGGTGAATTCATTGGCTCGGTGAGAATACGGCTATGTGCGAATACTTCATCATTGGCCAAATGAGCTGGTTTTAGGCGCTCGATATTTACATTTATAACCTTGCCGTTCACCTTGATGGCAAAAACACGTTCATCAAGTCTTGTGATCACTTTGTGTGGGCCTGAATATGGCTGGTCAAGTGGTCGTTTAGTTGCGTCGATTCTTAGGAAAACGTGTGTGCATGTTGACAGTTCTTTGAAACAAAACGTTTTCTGACGGCAATGGTGGGTTGAAGGAGCTGATCTGATTTTCGTCATATATGAGCGAAAGCCTTCAAGGAAAAATTGGGAATCTCCGGGTGGATCTCCATCTGAGAAAAATTCGCCAGGAACCCGAAGTGTTGTCCCATATAGATGTTCTGCGGGTGATGCCTTTAAGTCATCCTTGTAGCAAGTTCTCAATCCCAATAATACTGTTGGTAGAACTTGAGTCCACTGAGAGATTTGATGACACATGATGGCGGCTTTGAGTGTGCGGTGTCACATTTCTACCAGACTCCTACTAGGTCCAAATGGACATGATCGAATCTCTCATCCAGAATAGGGAATGTGGCGGGTGCTGCTGCTAGTTGTTCCTTGATGTAGATGAAAGCTTGTTCTGATTCTGCTGTCCAAGGTAGTGGTCTGCGATCGTTTTTCTTCTTTGAGTCTTTTAAGAATTCGTTGAGATGTGTCGTCGGTAGAAGTTATTTGCGCCAAGAAATCTTCTTAGCTCTAAAACTGTTTTAGGTTTTGGGAAATTCCGTAGCGCCTGAACTCGGCTTGGGAGTGGTGCGAAACCGAGTTTCGAAATTCTAAATCTTAAGAAATCGACTTCGGAAGCACCTAAAACACATTTTTCCGCATTAATGCACAAGCCGTATTGGCTAAGCCGCTGGAATACTAACCGGAGGTGTTGTATGTGTTGTTGTTCGCTGGATGATGCTATCAGCAGTTCGTCAAAGTAAGCTTATACGCAATCGAGGCCCGTGAGTGCTTCGTTGATAAAACGCTGAGAGGACTGTGCCGCGTTGCGGAGCCCGAACAGCATGCTGATGAACTCGAATAACCCGAACGGGGTTATTATGGCGGTTTTTGATATGTCTTCCTCGGCCACCGGAATATGATGAAAGGCACGTCTTAGAAGCGAGATTGGGTACCAGTCAGGAATAGTTTTTTCGTTAAGTCCACGGTAGTCTCCGCATGGTCGCCAATCTCCATTTTTCTTCTTGACCATGTGTAAGGGACTAACCCAGGGGCTATTTGATGGTCTGGCATGACCCAACTCGACTAGGAGCTTAAACTCCTTTTTGGTCACTTTGAGGCGCTCAGGACATAACGGTGGAACACGTTGCATGCACGGTGGTCCGGTGGTATGGATAAAATCTGTAACGGAGTGTTTGATTGGTTCGAAGGATTCCAAATAGTTCCGGAAAATCTTTGAGTATAGCCGTAAATTTGTTGCTCTCGTGTAGGGCCGTGACCGCTGTAATGGGGGCGGTTGCATAGTGGCCTACACTGTGCGAGTCCGAGTTAGGGTCTACCAAGCGACCACGTTTGAGGTCCACAACTAATCAAAATTTATGGATGAGATCTGCCCCGATGATGGGATAAGGTACGTTACCTATACAGAATATCCAATGGATCAGACGCCGTAGCCCTATATTGAGGGTGAGTAAGTTATCCCCGTAGGTTTCGATTTCACTACCGTTTGCAGCTTGCAGTCGAAAATCATGGCATTTTCTTGTTTTTAGTGGAAAGTGGAGTTACCGCAATATCTGCGCCTGTGTCGACGAGGAATTTCATACCCGATATGCGGTCGTAAACGAATAGTCGGCGATGTGTTATGTTGCCACCAGTATACACCGTGGCTACTGGGGGCCGTTTATGTTTCCCTGAAACGTGCATGGCTGTGTGCACTTTTTGGACGTTGACCAAATTTTCGATGATAATTTGTGATTGTAGCACTGCCCTCTAATGCGCTTGGTGTATTTTTACTGCAATTGCTTCCGTTGAGTGATGCTTTGTCGAGCCTCCGAGCCAGCTTTTCTACTTGCCTTGCCAAATCGTCCAGTTGTTTACTTATGTCACTACTAGCAGCGAATTTGTGGTTCACAGCCATTATACCCGAATCTTCATGTCCTCGTTGAACTTCCATGAGGCGATCCGCTGTTCCGCGAGATTAGTGTTGTTTTCTTCACCAATGGCAGTAAGTGCAAGTTGTATCTGTAGAGGAATACGGTCAAACCAAATGGTGCGCACAAATGCTGCATCTAAATGATTTCCTCCCTGGCGATGGATTTCTGTCAGCAGTTCAGACGGCCGTCGATCACGTAGTTCGACGCCGGATAGCAACATTTTGAAACGGCGTTCCTGAGGAATGGCATAATGATTGATCACCACAATTGAACCTGCTGGTTCCAAAACGGCGATAGTTCGATTCGTTCAAATCTGTCGATGTGCGTAGCTTGCAGTGGTGGGATCTGGGCGTGTTTGCTTCGAAAAATTCCTCGGTGGGGTTCTCGTCTTGCGAGCCGCGGCACCCATCGCTTAATTTTGTTGGGCCATTTAACGTGTGCTTTTAAATCGTAGGGGTCACCAATTATGTGGCGAAAGTTAAAGTTAATTTTTTAACACTTGATCTCTTGTTGGCGTCTATACACGAAGTGACGCTTCTTAAAAACTAAAAGCTTATAATTCAGTTGAAACTGTAATTTTCTAGGAAGAATATAAAGAGAATGAAATAATATAATAACTGAGAAACAGTGCTGTCATATGTGAGTGCCCACAGTTTATTACTGTATACAGAGAACGTACATTTATAGAGAAAGTTCATGGTTGCCGATTGTCAAAATGTTCCTCTCTTTGGAGGGGTTGAGTTTTCTATTAGTGGATTTCACCACAAAAATATTATTAGCGGATTTCACCAATATTTAACATGAGGAGGTCGAAAATCGCAGAATTGAGCATTTTGATTGTTAAATGAGAAAAGTGATGCTAATTTCAATATACGCTTACAGATTCGCATATTTACAATGCGCAAACCGCTATGGATATTCTCCATATATTTGATAACAAAGCTCAAATGTATATACATACATAGATTACAGACATATATACGAGTTTTATTCTTTTCTTAATACGGTTTTAAATACGAACACGATTTTATTCTTTTATTAACTTTCATTGATTTATTTCGTTTTTAGCTCATCTCAGCTTAGTCGTTGAATTCAGACT